ACTTTTTTCAAAGTTCATATGGGGAAAATGAATAGAAAAATACTTCCGGAACTTCCAGAAAGTGTGCGGCAATAATGTACTAAATACTCTGTTCAGCTGTCTTATTTTAATATTATCATTGTTATTATTAATATTATTAGGGCACTTAATGCATGTACTTCAACACTTTAACCCTAAAAGGGGCAATGTATCCTGAGTAGGGTTGCAAAAGGGTGGAAAATTTCTGGTAAATTTCCGGAAACTTTCCAAAAATCTTTTGGAATATTCCAAAAAAATCCTGGAATGGTTCCAAAATTTTGGGAATGTTTCCTGAAATTTACTGGAAATGTTCCACCTTTTTGCAACCCTAATCCTGAGGGATTCAAACATTTGAGAAGCTGTGGGGAGAAGCAGGGAACGTGTAGGTCTTATTTCTTGGTTTCATGTTGAAAGGGTGAATATTTAGATGAGGTGACTTTAGTTTCTCCATTCTTTGTTTAGCTCACAGGCAGCATTTAAAACTGCATGGACTTACCGGTTTAAAAAGCTGTTGTTCAGCATTAGCTTATTAGGTTAACATTTATATATTATAAATTAAATGCTTAGGGCCTACATTTTTTGTAGTCTGTCTCTAAACATTTGTATCTCAGGGAATACGTCACACTTTTAGGGGTATAAATCAAGATATAAAAAGTAAAACATATACAGTATATAGACTGTGATTTTGTGGTTGTGTTTTAGAAAATCAAATCTTTTTGTAATCTTGACAAAACATATCGTTGGAAAGGTCTGACTGTCAGGGTTCCATATTTGCTGACTGTTTTGTAATAGAAGTGATATTGTGATAGAAAATGATTGATTTGTGACAGAAAACTGCATCATATAATTCAATAGAGTTTGGGTTTAACCCAGTGATTATTTTTGGTATGGCGCCCAAACAAAATCTCACAGGAACCACAACTTTTGTGATATCAACTTCAAATTTGGAACATAACTTGGTTAGACATATGGCTTTGATTTTATAGCAATTTTAGAGTGCAACATATTTTATAAAATATTTATTTTATATAAAATAAAATAAATATAGTATTCTCCATTATCTTTATTGTAAACGTAAACTTTTATAAATTTTTGATACTTTATTTTTTTTAAATGCTTTCACTTCAGCAATAATCTGCTATGTGTCTTCTTTAAAAGAGACCAACGATAGCTCTGTATTCCAAAGTGTTCAGGAATTACAACCGTGTTGTAACAAGCATTGATAAACAAGTGTTCTGTTTCCAGTGAACTTATACCCCAAAGGTGCGACGTATCCTAGGGGATACAAACATTAAAATTATAATAATAGTAGTCAAGTTTTGAAAAAGAAAAAAAATGAAATTGTATTATTTCAGTCCCAATAAGATGGAAAATAGCAATACATTTTACAGTATATCTCTCTCTCTGTGTGTGTGTGTGTGTGTGTGTGCGCTTCTGTGTGCCTGTGTGTGTGTTCCTCAGGTGATGTGTGTGTTAGCGCTGGCTGTGTGTGAGGCGTATGTGTTTCAGGCCGGTCAGTCAACAGGTGAGGTGGACGACACTCCTCCACAGATCAGAGGTCAGTCTGTCTCTGCGCGTCTGAATTTATTTATGTATGTGTTTATCACATCAGACTAAGGTGTGTGTGTGTGTGTGTGTGTGTCTGTGTGTGGTCAGATTTCTCTGGCTCCTGTAAGGGCCGTTGTTTCGAGCTGAAGGAGGCGGAGCCACCCAGCTGCAGGTGTGATAATCTGTGCAAGACGTACCTGAGCTGCTGCTCCGACTTCGACGAGCAGTGCCTCAAGACAGGTGAGAACACACTCACACACACACACGCACGCATGCGCACACACACACACACACACACTCACACTCACACTCTCTCTCACACACACACACACACACAAACGACCAGAGCTGGCTAGTCACAGATTACATGAGATCTGGATACATAACACATTGAGATGCTCTAAATAATTCGTTTTCAATATTTCTATTTGCATTTTAACTGTAAAGTTTTAGTAATTTTGTTGTTTTTGTCATTTTTACTAGTTTTTTAAAATGTCTAGTTTATTCATTTTTATTTCAAATTTAGTTTTTGTTATTTAGATCATCAAGTTAAACTAAATGAAAACTAGAAATATAAGGGTTTTTTAATAGTTTATTTTATTGCAAATAACTATTGCAAGTTTGTTTTACAATAGTTTTATTTGTAGTTGTAATTTTTATTAAAGGGGTCATATGATGCGATTTCAATTGTTCCTTTCTCTTTGGAGTGTTACAAGCTCTTGGTGCATAAAGAAGATCTGTAAAGCTGCAAAGACTAAAGTCTCAAATCCAAAGAGATATTCTTTATAAAAGTTAAGAGTCAGCCACACCTACCTAAAACGGCTCGTTCTAACACGATAACTGCAGTGATTACTACAACTATTGTGATTACTATAGATACTTGATTACGCACCCCACATGTCTACATCACTATGTGGGAAGATTTGCATAACGCCGCCCAAATGTTCACACAAAGAAAGAAGGCGTAACTTTTATTCTCGCTGTAGTATTGTTGCTGCCGCCGCCATGTCGTGAAGAGCTGTGTGGTTCGGAATGTTTTTGTCTCGTTGCTCCGGCCGGACACAGCATCACAGTATGGTGAGGGGCGTAACATTTCCGTCACACGCTTGAGGTATTCGGCCAATCACAATGCACTGGATAGCTGGCCAATCACAGCACACCTCGCTTTTCAGACCGATGAGCTTTGTAAAAATCGAGCGTTTCAGAAAGGCGGGGCATAGAGGAAAAACAATAATGTACAGTATGTGGAAAATAATGTGTTTTTTGAACCTTAAACCGCATAAACACATTGCATTACACCAAATAATGTTCTTTTTAGCAGCATCATATGACCCCTTTAAGTATAATAACTGGTACAGTGTAAATATATTTGGGTTTGTCTCATGAAAATGTTCTCATTCTCATCACTGTGATGTTTGCTTGTAAAGCTCATTATTTAAATGGATTATCATCGCTGCTGAAATCCAAACAGATTCAGTACAGTATTTGAATAAGCACAAATGAACAGAAGTAATTCAGTACCACTGTCATGCAGTGTGCTTATTGTGTGTGTGTGTGTGTGTGTGTGTGTGTGTGTGTGTGTGTTCAGCGGGAGGGTTCGAGTGTTCACGGGAGCGCTGTGGTGAGATCAGGAACGAGGATTACGCCTGTCACTGTTCAGACGACTGTCTGGAGAGAGGAGACTGCTGTACCAACTACAGACCACTGTGCAAGGGTCAGACACACATACACACACGCTCTCACACTCTCACTCACACACACACATGCTCTCACATTCACACACACATGCACACACACACACACACTCTCACTCACTCACTCACACACGCTCAATCACATTCAGACACACTCACACACTCTCTCACTCACACACACACACACACACACACACACACACTCTCACACACTCTCTCTCACACAC